GAAGATAACATAGATAAAATGATACATGGTTTCACTCATCACATCACTAATGAACACTCTTTGTATCAATCTATGCTCTACTTGAGAAACCCATAAAAGCTTATGCCTTCTAATGGCTTTCTCTCTTCTTCTTCTTCCATATGTGTGCACTACTCGCTCTCTAACGTCTTTTTTTCTTCTCTATATAGTGATGACCACTTTAGACCTAAAGCACCTCACCACACGCCAAAGTAGCGACCTATAATGCGTTTGTGTTTTCTTGTCTCCCTTAGCTTTTCCTTGGGTTCCATTGTCTTGCCTATCCTTGGAACGAGGAGGAAAAACAGCTAGCAGGCCTGCAATCTCTTTGTCTCCTCCAAGCTCAATGTATAGGTATGGTCTTCTGCAACAACACGCAGAAACCGAGGAGAGTGTGTGTGGTTTTGTAAACAAGCTTATCTAAAATACTCTCTGTTTCCAACAGAGTCTTCTCTATTTTCCCTTTGATGTTAAACCTTCTGATAGAGACCAAATCTTTGACATTACCTTTGATTATTTGACTTCAACGGTAACACCAAAACAACAAGTCTCCATTAGGGGTGGAACGGATCCGAATATCCTGGAATTTCAAGGTATTCGGATCCCGATCCGAAATCGTCGGATCCGGGAAAAAACTATCCGGATCCAGATATCCGGCAAAAAAACGGATATCCGCAGATATCCGGATCCGAAATTAATATTAAAAATAATTAAAATAATTAATAAATAAATAAAAATATATTTTTAAAAATTATTAATTAATATTTTAAATGATATTTTTCATTATTAATATAATTTATTATAAAAAAAACTAAAATCAATATATATATATATATTTATTTATATAAAATTAGCTTAATAGATATATAATATATATGTTTTTAATATATTTAATGCGTCCGGATCCGGATCCGGATTTCCGGATCTTAAAATTTTGTTATCCGGATCCTCTTTTCACGGATCCTAGATTTTACTATCCTTATCCGGATCCGGATTCACCGGATATCTTAATTTTCAGAGCGATTCCGAACGGATAACGGATCGGTTCACGGATCCCGATAATATTCCACCCCTAGTCTCCATCACTGCATATTGACATCAAAGAAACAGAGCCAAATATTTGAACTAATCTTCACAATAAGCTATTTCAGAATTCTGAGTAGCTTATCGATGAATATGTTCGAACCCGTAGATTTATCTGAGGTTCCTGATACAATACACAAACATCTAGTAGATTTATCTGAGGTTCCTGATACAATACACAAACATCTAGTTCTGTCCTTAGGAATATAAGTATATATGCCAAACGCATGACTTATAAGTGTCCCGATTCATCTACTTAAGAGAACTACACAATGCGTAAAACAAGTAAATCGAAAAACTAACTAGTTAGATCGTTTGATAAACAAAGTGCAAAGTAAACCAAGCGCAAACATGATTGGCCAAACCGAGAATTTAATGGGAGTATCAGCTCTATGTATGATGAATGAATAGTTAATGGTTGTGAGAATGGTTTGACACAAGGCGCAAAGCAATCCAACCATCTCTGGAAAGCTACCGAATCGATTTGATCTTTGAGTTGGATAGTGAAACCAAGGAATAGGCCAAGTCCACTTCCACAAAACTCTCTCAACTCTTCCTTTGTGAAAGAGATCCACAACGCAAAGTAGACAAGATAACAATGACATTGACATAGCAGCCAACGCGTAGAAAGGTTTGTGAGTCGAAGAGATCTGGTCAAAAACAGAGGAAGGTATTTCCAACATGAGGTTGGTGATAACTAGAGACCACTCAATTATGACCTGTTTAAAACACAAGACAGAGAAGAATCATGTGTAAA